CTGCCTTTGGGAGGTCACACAATCATGAGATGTTCTGACTTGGAAGGGACACACAACGATATCGAAGTGCAGGTCCTGCCCCTGAACAGCACAGCCCCAAGAATCCCACCACGTGCCTGAGAGCATTGTCCAAATGCTTCTTGAACTCTGTCAGGCTCGGTTGTCACACTTCTCTAGGCAGCCAGTCCCCGTGCCCAGCCACCTTCCAGCAAAGAACCTTATCCCAGTATCCATCCTGAACCTCCCCTGACGCAGCTTCAGGCTGTCCCCTGGGGTTCTGTCATTGTCACCGCAGATCAATGCCCGCCCTTTCACTTCCCTTCACAGCCCCAAAGCTGTACACCACAAGAAGGTCTCCTGTCCATCTCCTCCAGGCTGAACAGACCGAGTGATGTTTAGAACAATTAAATGGGTCTGGTTGGGTGAAGTTCACCCCAGGACCTGTCCTGGTTCCAGCATCCCCAGCACCCTTTCCCCCAGCATAGCCCACCTCTTCCTCCACAGGCTCTGGCCCTTGTCCACTCGCTTGTGTTCCAGGCCACCACACTCCTCCACGGGGAGCCAGCCAGGCCTCCAGAAGTGCCTGAGGGTTCCTCCATGGAGCTCTCCTCTGATGGACTTTCCTCGATGTCCTGCTCCAGAGTTCAGCATGGAATCACTGTTGTGATAAGAAACCTTTCCTGGCCTGAGCGTGGTGTGTGGTTTGGCCATCCCCAGTCTCTTGCTGTGCAGTGACCCACAAGCTCTGCCCTGTGGGTGTCATTCCCTCCATGGCAGGAATATCTCACGCCTTTGCCCCATCCTCTGCTCCAAGCTGCCCAAATCCACCAGCCCTGGCAGCATCCACACCACTTGCGCACTCGCTCCTGTTTGTACACTTATCACAGCGTCATATTCCAGCTGCAGAGAAAACAACGCGCCCCGTGGGCAGCACCGCTGCTCGCACGCTCTGCCCGAAGTTTGTCTTTTACACAACTGTGCGGTATTGACCTGTGTACAGACCTGTGTCAGCGCTGCAATCCCAAGCACGCATTGCTCAGCTGATGGCAGTGGCCCTGCAGACACCCAGCACACAGGGTGCTCGGTGTCGTGACGCTGGGTGCCCGCACTTATCACCATTCTCGGCAGAAGCTGGGCACAAGCAGCACTTCACAGCGCCAGGACATGTTATCTACACAAAGGCAGTGGCTGACTGATACGATATCTGGCCCATAGTCTGTTGTCCTTGGTTCCTAGTAACTGGTGTTTAGGTACCTTCCTCCACTTAAAATTTTAGTGGGAAAATGGCAGTGTGTACTAAATGCCAGTATAAAAGTAGCAGTGCCTCACTGGTAGTGATTGGCATCTCAAATTCCAGCAGTTTAGTGCTTGCTGGGAACTGTGAAAGTGACAAGGATATTCTTCAGTGGGAATCTGAAAACTGCCTCTGTTGAAGTAGCCTTTAAACCAAAACAAGACTAGAACACCTTTGTGATTTCAGCAGAAATGAGTTTTAAAACTGCTTTTAAAAAACATACAACATATATATAAAACATGTACACAATATACAATATATATAACAATATACTTAGCTACTTGTTTTCTTTCACACTTTTGTGTCATCCACATCTACAATTTCAGGCCTTTGTCAATGGTCATAAGGGTTTAATTTAAAAACTAATGCAGAAATCAGTAAAAATGTCAAATATCATCAAACTTTCAAGAAAAAAAAGGTGTTTGGCAAATTACAGACTAGGGAATTAATTTCACCCCTTGTTAAAAGCCACTGTCTCTAATGCAGAAGGTAATAGTTGCAAAAGTTTAAGGCAGGAAGTGAAGACAATGTTTTGAAACTACCTAGATGATTTCTAGGCAGGCAAAATCTTGTATCTGCCATGGCTGGAAAGCAGCCAGAGCACCATGGTTAGCAAGTGCACTCTTGCAAGAACTGTGGTAAAATCTCCAGTGCCCACAGGTGTTTCTGCCTTTCCTTCCCCAGCACAGCAAAGAGACGCAGTCCTGGGTGAAGGGGGAAGTTGATATGACTGCTGTTCAATTAGAGGCCAAAATATCCCAGTGATGAATGTCCTTTGTTCTGTACTGAGTGTGCTTATTTGTTCCTTCACAAGCTGGTGGTTGTGAAAAAAAAAAAAAAGTTAAACGTAAGTTAGATTTGACTAAACGTGGGTCCTAAGGTAGCTCTTTGCATGCAGCTGTTTACAGAGTCAGGTGGCAAAGTCAACCTCCCCTCTGCTGATATTTTGGTTTTGTTTTAGGCAAATTTGTTTTATTTTTAAGCAGGCTCACTGAGTAGCTTTCTAGTGAGTAAAAGGGACTTCAAGATAGCAGAATAAAAGTCTGTACTAGGATCAGGACCAAGTAGTACTGGATGCCATGAGCACATGAGGCATCACACTTACTTTGAATGATCAGTTTAACATTTATAATTAAACATCTTTCAATTGCGTGTCTTCAAAATGATAGGTTGGTGAAAATATTTTGAACTTCTACAAAAATTTAGAAATTTCCCCTAGAACCACTAATAAAATGCCCCTTGGCAGCAAATGTGAGTTTGAGATGTTTGCAGTGCACTCTGCAGATACATTTGTTCATTTTGGAACAAAAAGGACTGAAAAGCTTTTTTAATTAAATGTAGGGTTCTTCACTTTTTTTTTTTCCCCTTTTTTTCTTTTTTTTTCCCTGTGGTTTGCTGACAAAAAGCTTGTGCTGTATCAATTCTTCCCTGATGTCCAGAATTCAGTGAGAGTATGTTTAGGCCAACATCCAACACATGCAAATTCTGTACTCCTCCCACAGTCTCCCATTTGCTAATCATGAAAGCACTACTGCCAGCACGTATTCAACTACTTCCTCAGATGGAGGCATTAATCTTTGAGGGGACAGAGTAGAGAGTTCAATTTACTAATGCAAAACATCAGTGGGGGAAGATCTACTGCTGAGATTTACAATGGGTGGAGAATAATATAAGCATACAATACACCCACTGTGGGAAGCCTTGGAATATTGTCTTGAAACTCTCTTTTTAATTTAATGCAACTTTATTCTTTTTTCTAATTTAAATGTAAAGGAAAGCGATGGTCAAGTGATATCCTGATGACTCAAGTAATACTCTTTTCCTATACCATGTTTTAATCAGGAGTCATAAATATGGTTGTTTCTACCTCCTGTAATCCAAGAGTGCCATCCTTTCCTCTTGGCTGCAGGGGCACAATGTAATTATCTCTGAGCTGGGGAACTGGTTAAAGCTGCAGAAGTGTGAGGGAATTATGGAAGTAAATTCAGAGTATAGATTTATAAAAAAGACAGAATAAAGATTTCCATTAGGAAATTTCCTTTTTTTTCTGATGCCTTTCTACACAGTTTCAGCTTCTTAATACAAGGATCTGCTGTGGGCCAGCCAGCCATCTTTCCCAAGATCTTGTCTTTGCATTTCTAGTTCAGCAGCTCCAGCCCAGTGCTCCCCATGGTGTCCAGTGAGAGATCAGAAGTCTCCCAGCAGCCACCCATGAAGCTGAACCACTGTGTCTGAAAGGCGTGGGGGAATCCTTGCCCAGATACAATCACAAAGGAACAAGTTATTTCCCTTGCTGTGGATCTCTGTTTTGAAAAACCTTCTTGTGTAATCTTTTCATTGCAGCAGCTGCCCCAGGGACACAAGCACTAAGGGCCAGAACAGCAAAGCAATATTTCTGGAGGAAGTGCTGGACTGTGAGGCTTGGGCACACGAGCAAGATGTGATTGAACACGTTACTGCACATGGGCTGAGCCTTATAATTGGTCCCACGTCTCCTCTTTGTGTGAAATGAGCACTGAAGCCTGAAGATGAGCTTTAACATGTGCTGTAGCTCAGTTGTAGGTGTGCTGCTGCTGAGTAATTATTTTCTTCACAGAAATGTGCGCTTGAAACTTATTCTGTATACTTCACAGCCAAAGAAGATGGACAAAGTAGCAGAGGAGGAAAGATCAGAGTTTAAGAGTACATCTGGATGAAAAGCAGATTCTGTATTCATGTGGATTCAAAATCTGATGCAAATTCAGACATGTTGAGGCAGTTACACATCCTCTTCCCACAAACATCCGAATGGCTGAGCATAATCGCCAGTATCTGGGCAGAGCCAACACTAACCTGAAAGCTGGATTTTTTGCCTCATTCATCAGGAAGGAGTGTAGGGACTGAATATGCAGTGCTTGGCTGGAGACCAGTTTGGTGAAAGAAGTATATGGAAGGTCTACAATATCTGTAAATCGTAAAAGTAAATGTCAGCCTGGCATTAATGAATAGAAGGGAAGCTACAGGCTGAATTTAATGGAAAATTAAAATGACATTGTTTAATCATACTGGTTTCTGTTGTCTGCTAGCAGACTGGATTCTGGTTCAGTTACAGTAAGGATAAGATAGAGATTACAGTAAAATTGCAGCAAATTCACCAGGAAAAGCGAGTTTTGAACACTGCTTGTTGTGTTGCATTCCTACAGAGGCTGAAGGAGTAGATTACTTTGGAGCTCTGAAAACATCTGCAGATTTACAGCAGCAGTATAAGTTGTGTCAAGAGTATTTGTTCATACCTCACCAGGGACCTGCAGAAACATCATTCCAGCACTGGTAAAATGCTTTATTCTTAGGAAAGGAGTGATCCTCCACTCACAACATCAGCTCTTGATCAGCAAAATAAGAGACTGAATTAAGTGATGGAGTCCTCGATCTGCTCCCTAAGTTTCACAGCCAGCTCCCTGCATCATACACAGAGCAGAGTTTAAAACACGTGGTGACATTGAAACATGGGATAACACTGGTAGGAGGTCTGAGTGTTTGAAGTATTAGAGCATTGAGGTTATTCAAATAACTGCTGGAGCAGTATGGCACTTAGCATCACACACAGGAGAGGGAGATTCACTTTCCATGTGCTCCCATAGCCCTGTCATATTACATTCTGTATTTATTTATGCTGTGAACCACTTTATTGATTAATAGTGCTGAGAGATTTAACTAGCCACTGAATTATCCTGGCAGGCCAGGTCTGAGATGTTTTATTACCCCCCTCCCTGCACATACACACCAGCTTACTGAACAGACATTGTGAATTATTGAAGGCAGTGTTTTACTCAGCAAGGTGCTCTGGCAAGGGTTTTCCTGGGTTCCCATGGCATTTTGATATCAAATGCATTTCAGCTGCTGGCAGAGGGCTCTGGGCACTAAAGGCTGTGCTTAGTGTTCAAATCCGTTAGTGCTCACATCAAGGATCATTACCTAACCTGCCTGTCAAGCGGCTGATTATATTAAAATGAAGTTTGCCAATAAATAAGAGTCTGCAAATCCACCCAGAACAGTCTGTTTTCAGGCTAATTGGAAGCTATTTTTTGCCAGAACAAGTACTGCTTGTCCATAAATCAGCAGGTTTCATTGTGCAGTTCCTTACAAGATGTTGTCTCCGTCCTGGTTGGGAACAGACCCACTCTCACCACCCTCAGCTTCCCTCCACAGCCACACACACACTTTGGTGTGTGCCATCCATGGGGTCCCTCGTGTCAGTCCTGGTGAAGCCAAGGTTTGTTCAGGGAGGGATATGGGCCTCACTTGAGCCTGTGCTCTAGGATCCCCTCCAATGTCCATTCAAGTCAACAGGATCCTCTGCAGCAGCTCCAACACGCTCCAGCACCAGCCCCTGCTTTGGTGGCTTCTGCATGACTAATACAGAGGAAGACTTCAGGTTTCAGGACCATCTCTTTTCTCTAGGAGAAAGCTGAAATTCATGGTCAGAAAGAACCCTTCAGCCCAATAAAGTCTTTCCAAAGCAATCCAGGTGGACAGTGAATTCATATTTGTCACCTCTCTCCTTATCAAAAGCAGCCTTGAGAAAAAAAATCACCAATTAAATCTACAATATTGCAAGACTGCAGTGACTTCCCAGAGAAACCTGTATCTGTCCTGTTATGAATCAGAGGCCTGGTTGCTTTTCCTTCTCTAAGAAGTTCCCATTTAAGAGCAGGTTTAACCCCTTTTGACTGCTGGATTACATCAAAGAGCCACAGAAGAATGCAGGCTTATAGAACAGTAATTTCTTCCCCTCTGTCATGAACCTGGGAGGTCAAGGACATGCACCAGTTTAAAAATAGGATTCTCAGGCATTTTCTTTGCAGCTGGGCTCTTTCTAGGGTTTGGTGCATCAGCATTGCTGCCCCAGGAGAAGGGAGGCACAGCCAGGAGCACTTTGCTCATGGGACCAGCTCATTTGTGATTCTTAACTGCTTCCAACAAGCTTCCAGCTTTGCCTTGGGAAGGGATTGTTAATAAACTTTCCCCTTTATGACTAACTGGCTCAGAGGTGTCTCTGTTTTCAAACAGACCAGTAGCACATACAATTTTAAGTAGGCATTGTTCCAGTTAGAGCCTCATCCAGTATAAAGCCTGGGCAGAAATGATAGCTTCCTTTATTTACAGATGTGTAAATAACAGCAAGGAATGGCTACAGGAGATAGGACAAGGCATAAGAAGCTTCACCAGTCATGAAGGAGATCTCTCCCCCTGCTGATGGGCTTAGGAGGGGAGCAGGCTGCCCAGATGGCTGCTAGAGCCTCTCTGGGACAGGTTGGGCAAACATCTGGCTGGAGTGACACAGTCAAGGACAAGCTGTGTCCTTGAATAAACAAATTGTGTCATGCCCAGCTCTCTCCCCAGTTTTGTGTTTGTTTTCATTGTTTTGGTTTTGGGCAGAGGCTGAAACTTTCCCTAAAAGCCCAGGATGAGGAGTTACTCCAAAAACAGGCCTTGAAAGTTATCATTCTAGTACCACTCCTATGGATACACAGAAAGATCACTTGAAAAAAGAAAAACTCAGGCTCTTCCTCTGGACCTGTTATCAGTTTTCTCAACTGACAAGGACAGGCTGCTCACAGGAACGTGAAAGGCAGCACAGAAATTCTCTGCAGTGAGGCTGGGCACTGCTGGGTGCAGCAGCTGGGATATGTCCCCGTTTTGCAACACTCCAAAGCAATGATTCCTTGTCTTTGTGCATTTCTAGGAAACCAGAGAGACCATTCTCCCACATGAAAGCCTGCAGCAATTAGTGGCATGCAAGAAAAGCTCTCAGTGGATCATGAGAAATATTTCTTTCATGTTTAGTGCTTTCAAACACATTTTAAAAATTAAAAAATAAAATAGATTTTAAAAAAAACCTGCTTTGCTAAGACATCATACCCACCCATATCTATACTTCAGCATTTATAACCCCACAGCAAAGAAAGACCTCAGGGCAAGGCGATAAAGTATTTGTAATCAGATATCTGGTTTTTTTGTTTGGTTTTGTTTTTGTTTGTTTTTGGGGGTTTTTTTGTGCACACCTGAGCTCTCTGGTCCATGAATTCACAGAGCAATTTCCCAGAAATGCAGTTTAGGTGAAGCACTTGCCTGGGACTGAAGGTCTCAAGTTGTTGAGTTCTTGCCTTACAAATCAGAGATGCATTTCTGAGAAGTATTTCAGTATTTAAGTATTTCAGTCCCCTAAACTTCTATCTCTCCCTTATCTGTGTAAATGACAAGGTCTTAAAAGACCTAATTTCTCATCATTTTCTCCATACTACTTTGATTTTTTTAGCAACTAATGCAGTAATGGTTATGCCAAATTAAAGATCAGAAACTTACACAGTTCAGCATTTGTCATTTGTCCCTTGTCAAATGCAACAAGACACCATCACTAATAAAAGCAAATATCAGAATAAAAGCAAGAGAAAAAAGGCTGACCCTGTTTTTTTGGAATTCTCTGTCCATCACCAATGCCCTTCCCAGAGCTTGGTATAAGTCATGAGAATTGTTCTGCTAATAAGCCAGGTAAACACTAATATTTCCCAGCAGAGGGTTTTAGGTTTATTGATGCTCTGCAGTGCTGCAGGATGCATTTGTGGTGTCTATCCAAGCATTGGGAAGGCACTTTACAGGGCAGCACTGGGCAAGATCATCCAGGACTGTGATGGCTGTGGTGCTTTCCCATGAGTCATGAATTCACAGTCAAATATTCCATGACTCATGGATTAACCTAACAAAACCCGGAGGGAAGAAAAGTTATTGGGTTATTGGTTGACAAGAGCCTTTTAAAATTAACATGGCATAATAAGCAGGATACCAACATCCTCTGACTCGTGAGAACCTCGTCAGGAAGAGTTTTATGCACTCACCTATTACCGAGGGACCTCAGCTGGGGATGTGTAATTAGGATGGGACACTTTTTGCAGCTTCAAGGCTTGAATAGCAGCATTAGTATAATCTGGCTAAAGAAGGCAGAACCACATACAACACGGTATTAATACCACGTGTATTTAATTGCAGCTCCCTTCCATTCTAGTGCAAATAAACAAAATCAGACAAATACATGGAGATCAAAATGGAGCCATAAATGAAGCACAAGATAAAATACGGTAAACAAGGTTATCTGTCTCCTCTTCTGAAAAAAGGTTATGCACTTGCTTAACACTATAAAAAGAATAGTCTGACCCCACGGACAGGGCAGGGGAGAGAGGGTTTGGACACACATTTCCAAAGTCCTGGGTGCATTTGTGCTCCCTGCTTAGCAATGAATTTCCTGGGAAGCTCTGGGTATCTCTTCATTAACAACAAGATAATGAGAATTAAGTCACGCACAGACTTCTCTAACCCCTCTATACCTCTGTCCCTCTGTAAAATAAGGTGAGTGGAATTGCAGAGTAAAGAGGTTGAAATATAATAAATATTGTTGGGCCAGTGATCAGCTGCAGTAATAGAGTCCATATGAAAACCTGAGACCATGCTAGTCAAAGGTATAAATTTCTGAGGAACACAAAGGAATTGGTATTGGAAAGCTTGTTCACTGTGGGACTTACAGGAGATAGAAAATGCCCCAGAATTTTAATTTGGCATTCAGTCTCAGCCTGACCCTTCCCATATCCAGGACCCCAAAGGCCTGTTTGAGTTCTCCTTTGTAGATATAATATTACAGTCCTAGGCCTAGGGAGAAATGTAGCACATTTTCCATTCAAAGCATAACAGTCAGTTTGGTTTAAATAAGATACTGTATCATTTCAGCAATATTGATTGTATGTTTAAGATTTTCTCCTTCAGAAACTATATATGATGGATAAAGAGGGAATACCAAAAAGCAAAAGAAAAGAGTTTAAATGGCAGCTAGGGGAAGGAGAAAAACACTGGAACTATTTGTTTGAAGAAAACCTGTTTATTTTTAGTGACATTATCCTGTGGCTCACAAAACTAGGCTTTGAGCTCGGCACAACTTGCTTTAGATTTCAGATTTTACATTGCGAATCAGATTTTTCTGTCAACATTCTTAATCTTTTAAACTAATATAATATCTTTAATTAAAATCTCCAAGTGCTTCATTGTCCTCAGGCTATATGTTTTCAGACCTTATTCAACTATTCTCAATTTACCCATATAGGAGCTCGGCGCCTCCCTCAGCCAGATGAAACAATTCTAATTACACTAACTTGAGCCAGCAGAGGAGCTGGCTAATGCCAGACAACATGCTTAGGAGGAGAATCAACTTGAAAGGCATGTATAATCATTGTGACATCAATTTAATGTGTCACAGGACATGAAATTGAGGCCATGATAAAGAAGAAATCTGCTGATAGCTGTGTGAGCACAGCCCGTTGTGTAAGACACAGAAGAGCTGTCCCCTGTGACTCTGACACAGAAAAAGCCCTTGGATATGGGTAGGAACAGCCATAGCAAGGTGCACACTCATTCCCTGTCATGCCTGCATGCTCATTCTGATCATCCCAGGTGAGGGAGAGCTGGGAGGAACAGGTCTTTGGTGATGGGTGGTTTAGTTTTTTCTGACAGTGAGCTTCAGAGGAAGGTTCCCCACATTTAAATAGGATGTCCCAAGAGCACTTAAAGAAATACATATAAAAAGAGAAAATATACCAGAAACAATGGAAATACAAACACTGCCAGGCACTGCAAGTCAGTTCTGTCACTGAGGATGAGAACTGCCACCCACAGACCCACCCACGTCGAGCCAACCTGCCTAATTTGATCAGAGAAATTCTTGTGGTTAGATTCCTTCAGAAAGACTAGGCACAAGTAGATCCTGGAGCAAATTATACCATTTTAACAACATAAGTGTGCTCTTATCTGAATCATAGAGGGTCTGCTATTACACAGCAAATCAAGTGTCCCCCATGTCATCATTTGGCCAGTTCCCCATGACCCAGGTGGCACAGCTGTCTGCATCACCCAGGAAATGTCCTGCCTGGCCCTGGCCAGCAGCTTGGCATGGGCCATGTGAGGGCATCACTGCATCCACAGCATGAGTTACTGCCCCAGCTGACAGCTCCTGAGCAGCACACCACAGCCCAGACTTCAGCTGGTCACTCCCTGCTTTTCTCTAGCAAATCTCCTTTCAGCTGCTCAGAGCAGCCAGTGTTAGGCTGTTTCCATACACACGCCTCCTCGTTGGACTGCCACAGGTTGCAGGTGGGAATGAAGAGCCACTGGGCTGGTGGAGAAGCCTTCCAGAATCCTTACCTGATAGCTTATCAGGTGAGAGGGGAGATGAAAAATTTCAGGAGAACATAAGTAATGAAAATATGGTTCAGATTTACAATGAGCAACCATTTAAGGCAGTGTTAAACCTATTCTGTAACTACAAAAAGTGACCAGATAATATATTGCTGGCTTACATACCATCTGCTTATTTTTCCCATTAAAAAAATAAAAAAATAAAATCAAGAATCAAGGCCTCTTAGCTGTTTACCCTCTAATTTCATTAAAAATTAATACCCCTTATCATGCACTTGGCTGTAACAGGTTTGCTGTGTACATGTATTTTCCAGAAAATTTCCAACAGAATTCCTTGTACTGATTGCAAGAACTGTTATCAATCAACTGGTTTTAAACAGTGATGCATACATAACCTTGGCAAAGGGTTTGAGACCTATATTTCATTTATCTTGAAAAATAAATACGTTTAGCAAAATTCTCTCCTTGTACCCTTGACCTCTTCCAACTGCCAGTGATGAAGACTCAAGGGCAGTAAGGGATTTACTTAGACTCTGCTACCCACTCCTCAAAGGTGTCAGCCAGTGAAGGCTAGGGTCAGGCTGTGGTAGTAAATTGAATTTAGGCAGTTCTAATGTGGACAATATAGATTCTATCCGCCTTCTACTCTCTGCCTGGAACATCCACATACTTCATTACAGCCCAGGTAGGCGTTACTGTCAACTGGCCTGAGCCCAGAAGCAAAACAGGACAGAGCACTTAGTGAAACAGCCTACTGGGAGGTTCCTCAGCTCTTATGTGAGCTCAGAAATGACCTAAGAAGGAAAGAACTTAGAGTCTGCCAAAATGGATCCTTCTTGGAAAGAGCAGCTGAAACAGACTCAAACAGTGCTTCTTTTCTCTGCTGTATGTAATGAATAGGATAAAAATAAAGGAAGCCAGAAAGATTTCTGACATTATTTTTTCTGATATTAGTATTTTCTGAAGCTTCTGTCACTTTTGATAGCTTTTCAAAGTGCCCAAAAATCAGATGTGATTTAATTTGATGTTATAATATTAGTACTGTCTGCTGTGTAAAATGAAACACTAAAGATATCCAAAGTACAGCACAAAGAGAAGGTAATTATAGGGAGTATTTATGTTTGAACAGTCAGTCCTTAAGGTTTCAGTGCTAATGAATTCCTGATAAGAAACTTCTGTGTGAGAAAACTCATGGTGGCACTAGTAGAGGAACACCAATTTACTCGAGAAAGCAAACAGAATTTTTCCATCATGTTGGTATGTGAAATCCCACAAGGCTGGATTATGCCTTTCCTTCCTTTATCTTGAGTTTTGAACAGGCCCAGTGGCACCAGACCAGATTGTGTCCTGAGCTAGCTCACACCTGGAGGCACCTGGAGCTGCCTCACCATTCTCTTCCTGGGTTTACCCAGGCACCAAAGCCCAGCAGCTTCCCAGAAGCAGAGATCTGAAGTTCAGGAATTAATCTTCATTCCCTTGGGTAGCTCAGACAAAAGGAGGTTCAGACCCAAGGAAACTCAGGCCTCCACATGGCTTTAAGCTTGGAACTTTGCAAAGAAAGACAGCTCTGAAATATTAGAGTGCAGACTGAAAGCTTGTGTCCCAGGCACTGGGACAGAAATTGCCAACAGAGCTAAGTTCAGAGTGAAAATGCTGCTCTGCATGAAACTGCACACAGAGACCAGGCACTTCTCCTCTGACACAGGGATGGTCTGATGATTTTTCTCAGGTTATTTTTTTTTTGTGGTTGGTTTGTTTGTGGGTTTTTGTTTTGGTTTTTGGTGTTGTTTTTTTTTTTAAGACTATATTTCAATCACAGTCATTTTCCCTCAAGTTAAACCCAACTGTTAATTGTAGGTGTTTCATCTTGGTGAGGTTGTGAAGCTGGAGCCAGTACAGTGGAAACCCCACACAGCACACAAAGACTCTGCTGCAGTCTGTCATTTATCGCCTGAATGGAAAGAGTAACAGCCCAACACAAATATTTGGACTTCTCTTTGTTCCTGGCAGGGCTTTTGAAGCACACACACACACGAGCAGATTGGGTTTGGTTTTGTGAGGATGGGAGAAGCAAAAGAGAGACAGAGCTGGGAATGAGCCAGATCCAGCACACAAGAGAGGCAAAGTGCTCCCAGGGCTGTGCCCAGGTGTGCAGGGCTGGAGCAGCAGCACAGGCAGTTTTATCACAGCAGGATGAGTGCATTCCTGGAGCCTTATCAGGGTGTACATCAAGGATGGCTGTTGATTATGAAGAACAGCACAGGGCAGAATCTCCCACGGGTAAATCCTGTGTCTGTGGGGCTATGAGCAAAACTGAACCAACCATCAAAAGATATAGATCTTTTGCTCCAGATCTGAGCAAAAATCCAGACCTGGATCTTCTTCAAAACTGCTTGATCGTTGTTATATCCCACTTGACCAGAGCAAACCTTTAGCCAGATAAAACAACAGCATTTTCCTGTCCTTATTTCAGAGCAAGGGCAGGACCGCTGGAAAGCTCAGCAATTCTGGCTGCACAACCGCACAGTTAAGATTTCATACCACTTCCACATCTGCTACAAGTCCAAATACACAGCTGTGGTAGAGCCAGCTTGTCTTTGGAAGCAGTTACAAAGTGCTCACCTTGTGTTTGGTGCTCTGGAAACTCATGCAAAGCATTGTCCCACCTTCAAAAAGCACAGGAGCAGGAGATCAGAGCCCTCCACCGCCTGCAGAGCAGGAGGCCATGAGCAGACCTGGTTTCACTGATAACACCAGCACAATTGACACAGCCCGTGGAAAAACAAACAGTCTGTTGGTTGATATACCTGATTCCTTGGCTCATTGCCCAAGGAGGAAAGCCTGGGAGCACTGAGGAAAGGATTCAGAAAACAGGCCTTGAGTCAAACACGCACCACAGAGGTTTGTGACCAGGGACCAGTTTGCACCAGGACTGAGTTGAGGAGCTCCTGTGAAGGCACTGTCTCCCCAGCTGTCTAATGCTCCATTTTCCCTCCTGGTGCTGGATTTCACCAGCAGTCACAAGGGGCTGCTTGTCTCCAGTTTGGAATACAAGTCCCTATTGACATAACTTGTAATCCATAAAAAGGCAAGATCAGAATTAACTTCTAGCATTTCTCCTACTGTTCACCCAGCCCTAATCCAGCATGGTTTGCCAAATACTAAACAATACTAACTATTGCATTTAGGCCTTCCTTCTGAGATTAAAAAAAAAGTGAATCTGCTCTGCAATAATGGCTTCAAGAAGCAAGAAGTGAAGGAAAAAGTACGATAGCAACACTCTCTTTGCTGCTCAGCCATAGCAATGGGCTCAACCAGACACAGCAGCTACACAAACTGTTCTTCTGCAGTGTTGGAAACACCCAAAATATCTGTCTTCAGAAGTTCAGTACTATGTTGGTTATTCCTGATCCATGTTAGAATTATTCCTTAACATTTACCATAGTTTTTCACATGCCTCTGTGCCAGCGTGCTCCAGAGCTGGGTTCAGGCAAGGTGACTGCAGGCAGAGAACAATGCAACACTTTCGCTCTGCAATCTGCCACTCAGGTAAAGCCCCAGAGCTCCCCTGGGCACACCTGCCTGGCCCAGCCCAAACAAACCTGAGATAGCGTGGGCAGGAGCACACTCAGCTCTGCCTGTCAGTGCAGTCTGCTGGCAGCTCTTGTTCACCCATAGAGACACAGGCAAGCAAGTGGGGGGCAGAGTGGAAATAAAAACTCTTGTGTTTGTGAGGCTCAGGATAGCATTAGAGCCCTTTCCATGCTTTGGGAGCAAAGCAGAGGGGATACTTCTTCAGAGCTGGTAAAGCAGCCCCTTCAGGTGTTGGTCAAGCCCATTTTTCTTGGCAGCCTCCTATAGGGACCAAAGAAAACAGGAATTGCTGAAGGATCAGCATCTCTTGACAGGCATTTCCCAAGTCAGCTTGTATCAGTCTTCAGATCCTCATGGAAGGAGAGACATTACCCAAATGGCTTTGCCAAGGATCTGCAGAGGTCACACAACTGCAGCCACCTCCTCCTGCCCATGCCAAAGGCTCTGGTAGGAGAGGGCAAAGCGCAAAGCTCCGTGTTTGGGGTAACATGGAGGGAAGGAGGGAAGGAGAGAAGGACACCTGTACCAGCTCCCAGCAGGCTGGACAACTGCAAATAAATAGACAGATGGCCTTTGGCTGTGTGGAAAAAAGCATTTCACTTTGCTAACAAGAAACAGCTCCTGCTGTGGGCAGTGGAGCAGGACTGGGACCATCCCCCAAGCAGAGTGACACCAGTTCTGCTGCAGATCTCAGCAGGGCAGTGACAGATGAGTTGCCGTGACAGAGCCCAAGTTCTTCCATCACGTCACTGCTACCTTGTGTGACCCAGGGGGTAGGAATAACAGCCAGGCTCCACTACATCATCCTGCCAGAATGAAACTATTTAGAGACAGGTTCCAAGGGCAGCCATGAGCTTGCTTCCCTGGCAGGCTCACTGGGCAAAGAGCTTTAAGAGGTAAAGCCCATCTATACCCCCGAAGGAGGTGAGGGCCAGTAGGGACATGACTTCCTTCATTCCTATAAATTGGCAGGAGGTACCAAATATTTGGAATGTGCTTTGTAGGGCAGGATTAGCATGGGTCCTGCAAAGCTCTACTTGCCCGAGAACAGATTTTGCTTAGAGGGTTTCTAATCTCACTAGAGAGAGATTTGTTTATCCTGGTTTGTGCATGATAATGAAAGCGTTCCAGAGCCAAGAGAGATGAAGGAAGTGCATTCCTGATGAGCTGCTCCCTCTCTTCCAGTAGAGGACTCAACAGCCTACACAAGGCATTCTTTTTTGTGAGGGTTGGGGCTAGGCTTAGGCTAGAGAGAGTCTGAGAGCCTAGAACTCCAGGAGCACTGGCACTGGAAAATCCATGCCAAGGCTATCCTGGCAGGGCCCCAACGTTGCTGCTCCTACATCTTCCCCACCTGAACCACCACCACTGGTGCTGGGCTTGGTCTGAGGACAGTCTCTGGGCTGAGGTGAGACTGCTGTGAGTGTTTGCTTGAGCAATCCAGGGAATATGGAGCTGGGAATTCCAGGCAATGATCAAAGCAATGCCTTAGGTCCGTTTAGCTTGTGCCTGTGAGCACTGGTATTTGGGCTGGAATGGTGTTGCTGGGAACAAAGGATGGAGTAAATCTGCTCTCTTTGCAGTGAAGGACTGAGGAGCAGGGAAAGGAAATATTTATAAACTGTGTAACTATCTCAGCCAAACTGAGGGGCAGCAGGGATATCCATGTTGTCCTAAAGAACTGCTTCAGTTATGGGTCAGAGAGAGGAAAAGGAAATTACTTTTTATTTTCTTACCATTTTTTCCAGACAGAAGTGGGACATCATCTTACCCCTCCCCAAAACACTCCAGAAACATGGGAGTAGCCTGGTGCTGGCCCAGTTCTCTGAGAGATAACAACATTTGAGAGGTTCAAGTATTACTAACAACTCTGTTGTCTCTTGACTGCAAAGATTCAGTCCTACAGACCCAGAGTGATGAGACAAAAAAGGAATTTCTACCTAGGGGTTTATCCAAAGAAAGAGTTTCAGCTTCCTTGCTTTCAGAGCCCAGCTCCAGCCTGCAGTTTCTTGTTCCTATGCACGTGTGTGGTTTGCAGTTACTGAGCACGAATATCCCTTGCAAACTCTGCACATGGGCTCATTTCAGATTTGCAGTAGCGCTCCAAGTCACCAGGTGCCACCAGCGAGTCATTCCAGTCACTGCGCCTGTGCCCCTCGCCCAGATTCCACAAAATTCAATACATCCGAAGATTGCTCCCAGACAAAAGCTGCCGGGACAGAGAGAACCTGGGGACCTTGACCTCCCCAGGACAACCTGTCACCTCCCTGCACCTGAAACACTGGGGGTTTCCTTCCTATGGAAAAGAACTGTCATTTTCTTTCTGGATCCCATTGCCAGAATTTCGATTCCACCTCCAAAACTGCATGTATCTAAGGATTGCTCCCACACAAGAGACGTGGTGCTGGGGAACAGCTAGAAGTGCTCTGAAATGGAGGGGAACCCCCTGATTTAAGCCCTGATTTAAATGATGAAAAAGGGTGAGTTTCCTTCAATCTACCCCCTTAAAATGAGGGGAAAGGAGGGGTCTATTTTCACTTAAATCAACCCTCATGCTGTCAAATACAGTGCAGTAAACATGCTTTCTTAATATCTCATTATCTTCTGATCAAAACTGTACTGTCAGCATTCTAAGTGATAACAGGTTTTAGTTCCTCCAGCAAAATTAAAGCGTAGAACTTGTGCCAATGACCCCATGGCCTTGAACTTTGAAGCAGACATGCTTGTAAAACAATAAACATCTACCCCCACCTCTCAGAAAAACTTGACTATTAATGTGAAGGAACTGCAGTGACTATCTCCCCTTCTATCTTATCCTGGACTGGAAATGACCTCTGAAATGGAGTATTTCATTCAATTTGTTTTGCCTCAGTAATTTACAACAAACCTTTGAACAGCAAGAATCTTGTTTATTTCTGGACACCTATTTCCATTAAAGGCTTTTCCCAGACCAGCACAGACTACCACAATCAACCACCCTGGATCATCTGGATAAAATATGAAATTCATTGGCTTAGATGTTTCTTTCTTGATTCTCTCCACCCTCACTGCTCTTTGGAATGCAGGTGAGTGATTTTCAAACATTTTGCTGCTTTTAACTGCAAACTTGTTTGACTTCTCTACTTCAGAATAGCTTGGTAAGAAATTGCTGATACCATCTTTACAAACTAAAACAAAGGCACACAGGCCAGCTTTACCTGCATGGTGTCATTTTCAATCCCTTCCTCTATAATTTCCAGCAGGTCAGTGGTCTCTTCTGTAAGTAAACAGACAATCTGGAGAACGCAGTAAATAAATTTAAAGACAGAGAAAAACTTTTTCACTTCCCATTATTCATAATTGGTTCCAATTTTGAAAGATCCATGTCAAAGTTTAGAATTTCTGGCTTACCTAGATCATCTCAGAACAGCATGGTACTCTTGATATAGTTCCCAGGCAGTGTTATCCTTGCAAGATTCCACTTCCCAAAAGGTCTTCAGTGCTCCCAGCTGTCTGTGCAGCTTGTCCATCTCACTTAACTCCCCCTTAACTGTTTGTGAAATCCAGCCATTCTTGACAGTGTTACTGTAATGTCTGTCTTCTTCTCACTGTTTTATTTGTTGAGTAGTTTTCCATGTGATATCCAATAATTACTTACAGTAAGCCAGGAGCCCACTCACCTCTCTGTGTACCCCGGGCTCATAACCTGCCTTGTTAAGTTTATGAATCAAGTTATGACTGAGACTCAAATGAAATGCACAAAACAAAGACATTTCAGTAGCTCTTAATAAACTTGTGTTGGAGCCCATTTCATTGCTGTTGTTAACTTTCCAAGAGCACTGGCTTTCCAATTGCTGTTGTTAACTTTCCAAGAGCACTGGCTTTCCATTCTTACTGATTCCCATGTAGGGTGATGGTGAGGGGCCCCTGTCCTGGTGTGCTTAAGACTTATTCTCAAAAAGAAATGTAATTAATGACGCTCACTGAGGACCTGCTTCGGAGATTTATCTGTCTATTACATGTAAAAATACCCATGGAATTCATGAAATGATGTAGTGGCTGGGAGGTAAATAAGTGTATTTTGCTATTCAAACTGGAGCAACCTTAATATGTAGGTGATTACAACCTTCACCTAAGTAGGTTCCTAAACTAACATAACCAGTATTTAAGTAAGTATTTACTTACAGCACCCCTTTGGATGATGTACTTGTGCTTCAGAGAACATCTAGAGGAGTTCAATAACTTTCCTGCCTCTTTTTTTCTTCCTTTAACAAGGGGCTCAAGACTCTTGTGCAGACCGATGTGGGGAGCTGCTTGGTACCTGTTCTTGCCAGGTGACATGCCAGTCCTTGGGGATATGCTGTTCTGATTATAAAGAATTTTGTCTTCAAATTTCTCCGTACTCAGGATCTCTTATGGGAGGAAAAGACTTTTTGATTAACAACACAGCTTTTAAGGCCTCTTCTGTCCTAAAATGCAGGTGGGCCATGATTTTATATTCCTTTGACTGCTCGTTCTTCCCTTAACATATTAAAACACTAAGTGTGTCAGGCTGTATCACACTAAGGTACACATGACACCTCCTACACATGCAGTACACTGAATTTTGATGACCCTGATGGTGTGCTATTATTTCCACAGAAGGTTCTGAGTGAGATTTTGGAGTCCTTCTCATCTGGGTAGCAGTACCTGAAATGGTTTTCAGTTCTTTATTTGGAAAGGCATTCATTCTGCAGAACACAACTGTTAGCCAGGGCAAATTTCATTGCAGACAAACAAAGGTACTATTTCCTGGCAGGCCCCAGCTCCCTCTGCTACCTGGAGTAGATATGTACTCCCCATATATCAGTCTTGAAGGGTCCCAGGTGGGGTTATACCCCAGGACACTGGGCAAGAGCCCGAACTGGAATCAAATGGTTAAATAACAAGCAATGCGTTCTGAGTTAACCTTTGCAACAGAAATTCTGGAACAGTGTGAAATTGCTTTCGCTGCTTTCACAGGCCTTAACAGGAAAAAAAAAAAAAAAATCAGAAATTTGCAATAACTGTGCATCATGGTCAGTGTTAACCACCCTGTAATCCTGCTAATGCTATAACATTATCTTCCTCTTCCTGTTGCCCCTTTGTTGCTAATTTATCATGTCTCCCTCCCCCAGTAATTAAATAGTAAATTGAAGGTTTGTGGATTGATGTATATTTGTGCAGTTCACAGCAGAATTCACACTGATGTAATGAGCAGATTTTTTCAGTTTATATTCCCTGCTACAAGCAAAACAGCTCCAGACTAGAAATGATCCACACATGACACAAGGTTGCGTGTTGAAACACATTCAGAATTTTCCTCCTATCTATGATGACACTGAAAAGTGTTTTCAACATCTACAGGTTCAAGCAGCAAATCATGACCAGTGGCTATGTTGACAATGATGGAAAAGCCCACTGCATCTCCCCATTGCTTTATGAGACTGGTTTCATCCCTTTTGAAGTTTCTACAAATAATGGGTCAACGTTTCCTTACTCTGGAACTTGGTTATCAGGTTACTTAAATCTACTGCATCCCTCTTCTTCCTATATTTTTCCTCCATGCATGCAAGATTATATGTCTTTTCCTTTTGATCAGTTTTATTCTTCCTTAACAGCCCTCAGAAAATAAAGTCTTGCTGGTCTCATATTAATTTATCTTTTGAGAGATGAACTTTCACAGCAATTGAGTAGCAACAGCAACATTAACTGATAAAAAGTCCTGCTTAAAAATAGGGTTGACCAAAACATTTCCCACTTTGTCCCTACTTTTATCCCTTTTTGTCTTCTCTTCAAATTATTGCATTGTGGTGTTGCAATCTAAGGACTGCAAATATTAGTAAGGGTTACATTCTCTCAGCTTTAGGTTATTCTTCCATGTCATGCATCTTGTGCTGTGTAAAACATAACCAGGGGAAATACTGCCAAACCTTAAATAATATAGTAGCACTTTTTCAGGATTATGCAAAGCCAAAATGTCATTAGCCCTCTTTTTCTGCTCTGCAATACAGTACATCACAACAAAGTTTCAGATGGAGAAAAATGCACATTGGTAAATGAGACAAAATGGCAATACTATGGCACCCCCAGCACTGGTGGAAACTTAACTCTGACCTGGACACACCAGACACTCGCAGCAACCCACGTCAACATAGAAGTCTGGGGATACCAGGAAACAGGTAAAGTGACCCTTCTGCTACCTGTGCACAAGCATTTATCACACACATAACTTATGTGCAGATCTCTGCACAGCTGGGATCGCTTTCACCAAGGCCTCAAGAAGAGACCTTCAAGTATAAATAACTGATGACAATAATGTCAGCTTTTCCTCTTCATGTACGTATGGGTGGAGACATCTAATTTCAATCTTGTGGCAACTGTTCTTTTCCAGCATCCAAAACCATTTTCTTCCTCTTCCATCTGACAGGTGACAGTTACTCAGAAAACTGGATGGCTGAATGGAAATACCTTTACACTTTGGCAAGAGAAATACCCAATACAGGGAAATATTCTTTCATTCCTGTACCCACTGAAGGAAATTACAGTGCATGGCACTTTGGAATTTTGAGAATTATACCCAGCAAGTATTTGGACGGGCAGAGGCAAGTGCATCACAACATGTAGTAGTAGTAGTAGTAGTAGTAGTAGTAGTAGTAGTAATAATAGCAACCTTATAAGCTATTGTCTCCTTTTGGCATTCAAAACTGGAACTCAGGCTCCATTTAACATGAAAAAATGGGGAGAAAACTGGAATGTCAAAAGTGAGAAAAACCTTCATGTATGGGTCAACATAAAGACAGTTTACTAAGTAAAGAGGAGCGTGGGGGAAGAGCCACGATGTCTGCCACAAGTTATGTGGCACAGTTAGTCACCCAGTAAGGGCTGCTTTGGAAAAACACCCCTGCAGTTTTATTGATGGGCATGGAATATCCCTATGGTCACTTTGGGTTGGCTGTCATGGCTGTGTTCCCTCCTGGCCTTCTCCCTGGGGGCCAGGATGAGAAACAGAGAAGACCTTGACACGGTGCCAGCACTGCTCAGCAGGAGCTAAAACACTGATGTGTTATCAGCACTGTTTTGGTCACAAATCTAAAACGTGGCTGCAGTGAAGAAAATTACTCCATCCAAAGCCATACTCTCACCAGACTAGGATCTGCTGATTCTTTTGTTTTCTCACAACTGTGGAGGAGTTCCTAATTGTGGAGCTTCAGTCACTGCAGCCACAGGCCTTCCTCTTATATTTTCTATGCATTTTGCATTCCTTCAAATTTTATGGCCATTTCCTTTTATTTCATTGCATATTTCCCCATGATTTTTGGTAAACTACCTAAGTGCTCCATGGATATTTTTTCAAAATTCTTCCACATCTGCAGATTTGATGTAGATGGTATAGAGTCTATAAATACCACCTCTTCAGTGTTACAACATATTGCTAATATGTCAGAACCTTTTTTAGCATTTAGGAGTTGCTACCCAGAGAATGATAGCCTTTTCTCCTTCTAGAGGGTTTTTTATTATACTTTGTACATGATATTTTTTTCATAGGGGAAAAGCAGAGTGGCTTTGGAACATTTCAAGGATGCTGAATAGTTTCTCTAGTCATTAGTCCTGATATTACTGGGGTGAAGTGGTTTTGTTAAAGAATACAGATATTCTTCATTCTGGCCTAAATTAAATTAGAATGTCAAAAGGCATGAATAGAAAGCCTGCCTCTAAAAGGATCCATGTATGCCAGAATCACGATTACAAAAATGTAGTCTGATTATTGCATACTTGGTGCATGCTGTCCTGTCACCTCCTGAACTTGGAAAACTTTGATTTGCCATAACTTTTTGAAGGAAAAAAAAAACCAAACAGTGGGCTTTGCAATGTAATAACTTGGAAGTCAAAAGATGCTTTTTAATTATAATTAGCAACTGAGCCACAGTGCTGTAAAAATAGTGTTTGTTCAACTATCAGATCTATTTTTTGTTTCTCTTTTTTCTTTTTTTCAGCAACATTCTATCAATCTGGAGCTCAGAGCATGCATTGGCTTGGCACCTTGAGAAAGACTTCAGAAATGACCCAAATGCATGGGCAACTGCAAAATGTATTGAATGGGACAGAAAGGAAGAGTTGCTTCCAAACTTCTTGGAAGAAATTATAGACTGCCCTTGCACCTTGGCACAGGCAAGAGCTGACACTGGCAGGTTCCATGTAAGTTATGAACTGACACCTCTGGCTTATTACAATTCTAGGTAGAAGCTTAAGAAGTGCCAAACTCCACAGATACCCCTGTTCCCTCTCTAAATGTGATTACAAGGAAATTAAGTTATATTTAGATTTGCCCAAGTAGCCTATCAAAAGACAGAGGTAAATACAGCTTATCTACATAGTATGAATAAAAGTACCTATAGGATAGGAGATGGAAATTACATTCAAACAGGGAATTAAAACAGTAGTTCCAGTGGTAGACTGAAAACACTCTGTGGAGCTGGAAGCAGGGCTGATTTCTTTGAGATCCTACAAGATGACAGTCTGTGTTTGAAGGTGATATCCCATGCTCTAAAAAACTATTTCTGCCTAGTTTATCATACTTTGCTGCAAACCCTTCCGCCTTGTACTTCAGAGCTCAAGCCCAGAGCTGTAATCCATTATTTCCTTTATCCTGCTTCCTTCCTCCTTCTCAGCTTCACTGGTATCAAGGAACTGACAAGAGCTAAGAAGTCAATTGCCATTCAGTCTACACTTTCACTTACAGTGCTGATCTGAGGACCAGATGAGAGCAACTTCCTCTCCTATTTGTGATACCAAATGGTGGCATGCATTT